GGTGGGTGGGGGGGTGGGAGGATCTGGTGGGCTGACAGCAAGTGGGGGGTGGGGGTGGGGAGTACCTGGAAAGTGTCCTGCTGGCACTGCTGCTGGTAGGCCCCCAGGACAAGGACACTGAGCAGAAACATGACACTGCAGAGCAGGAGTAGCAGGATGTAGCCCCAGCGAGGGAGGTGCAGGGCTGAGTCCCCGAAGATCAGCAAGCTGCCCAGGGTGATGGCTGAGGCCACCAGGATGCAGATGGCCCAAGTCACGGCAGCTCCAGGGCCACACCTATCCAGGAAGCCCAGGTAGGGCCTCAGGACTGGCCGGAGCTGCCCAGGCTCAGGGGCCAGGGCCTGCTCAGTGCCCACCAGCTCTATACGGTCTGAGAAGGAGTTGTACTCCTTGGGTGCGGGACGAGGGCTGGCTGGGCTTGGGGAACTGGACAGAGAGACCTTCTGGAATCGTAGCACAATAACACTGATGGCCACGAAGGTGTAGGCCAGCAGTGTGCCGATAGACAGGAACTGGACCAACGCCTCAAGGTCCAGCAGCAGCGCCACAGAAGCCGTGAGAACCCCAAACACCAGGATGCCCACCAAGGGCACCTGCGTCCTGGGGTGGACATAGGCAAACGCCTGGAAGAAGAGCCCGTCGACGGCCATGGCGTAGATGATGCGCGGCAGGGAAAAAAGGTTACTGAGCAGGACTGTGTTCATGGCTGTGGCAGAGGGTGGGGGCTGGTTAGCATGGCAGACAGACCCCCGGGGCCACGCCCACCTTGGGAGTAGGGGCACGAGTTTGTCTGGGTTCTCAGAGTGAGCCTGAGTGACTGTGGAGTCGGGATTGTCACTCCCCCAACCCAGGAATGGGACCCCTCAGTTTAGGTCGCAGGCCACTGGGAATCTGGTGAGGGCTCAGTCATGCTGTCCAGGAGAGACCTGGACGCATATGCACAGAACGGACGATGAGGGTGGGGCGGCCAGGTCCCTCCCAACAAGCCTGGGGGGACAGTCTCATAATTAGCACCTTCCTGAACCCATTATACAACTCGTAAAACTAAGGCCCAGATGGAGGTGTGCTCCCTGGGGGCCAGGGCAGGGCTCCACTTACCGCAGATGGAGCCAGTCGCCACAACAAAGCCGGCCCACCGGTAGCCCCGCTGGTAGAAGGCGTCGGCTAGCGCAGAGTCAGGGTCCAGGCTGTGCCAGGGCATCATGAGGGTGAGCACAGTGGACACCAGGATGTAGGCGCTGGCTGCCAGGCCAAGCGAGATGGCGATGGCCAGGGGCACAGCACGCTTTGGGTTCCGGGCCTCCTCGCTGGAGGCAGAGATGACGTCAAAGCCCACGAAGGCATAGAAGCAGGTAGCAGTACCGGCCATGATGCCAGAGAAGCCGAAGGGCGCAAAGCCGCCCTCCTGCTCTCCCCAGTTGTGTGGGCGGGCCAGGATGAAGCCCAGGACGATGACAAAGAGGATGACGAGCATGCTGATGCCAGAGAAGGTGTGGTTGAGCCAGGAGGAGACTTGGGCTCCACAGGAGACGAAGATGGAGGCCAGGAGCAGGATGCTGGCAGCCAGGATGTCTGGGTATGTGGCCAGGAAGGGCACCTGCCAGACGCCTATGTGAGCCTCAGTGAAGTTGCGGATTTGGTGGTTGAACATGGCATCCAGGTAGCCACTCCAGGCACGGGCCACAGCGGCACCACCAATCACATACTCAAGCACCAAGTTCCAGCCGATGAGGAAGGCCCACAGCTCACCCATGGACACATAGGTGAACAGGTAGGCAGAGCCTGTGCGGGGCACGCGGGCCCCGAACTCCGCGTAGCACAGGGCCGCGAGCAGGGAGGCCACGGCTGCCACTCCGAAGGCCACGACTACCGCCGGGCCGGTTATCTCTTTGGCCACGGTGCCTGTGAGCACATAGAGGCCCGAGCCCACTGTGGCCCCCACTCCCAGCAGGGTCAGGTCCAGTGTGGACAGGCAGCGCCTCAGTGATGTCTCCATGGTGGTGTCCTCCAGCCGCTTCAGCCGATTCACCCTCTGGCAGAGGCGGGCCAGGCCAGCAGCGCTGGGCAGCCCCAAGGCCATGGTGAGCAGTTGGGAGGAGCACGGAGCCAGCTGCCAGCACCTACCAGGGCTGGAGGAGAGTGACAGTCTGGGTCACTGACCAGCTTCAGTCCTTCCTTGGACCCCACCCAGGGGACCTGAGCGCCCTTGAACGCTGGCATGCTGGAGGGCTGGGCTGGGACAGGGCTGGGCAGGAGGTCCCAGAGATGCTTTCAGGGCAGGGCAGGGAGCCTGGTGGAGCGAATTTGGGTGTGTTTGGTGGGGTAGCCCTGAAGGTGAGGAGGGGGCAGCCCCAGGGAGCGCGGCTGGGAACCCAGAGCCAGGTGGAAACCGGAGTCTTCCTGGGAGCTGGGCCAGGCCTCCAGGACCCGGAACAGGAGCGGAGCTGCGGCCCTGGGCGTAGCCCAGGCAGCCACCTGGCCTCAGACATCGTGGTCACCTTCCCCTCCCCCGCCCCGCAGGGCTGGAGTAACCGAGCACTGGCCGCAAGCGGGGGTACCCTCGGTCTGGCTCAGAAACCTCAGGCTCAGAGCTGTGCCCGCCCCCCCCCCTGTACGCCCCTGCTACCCCCGGAGCCAGTTTCACCGCGCCCCGTCCCCAGGTACCTGAGCTTTTGCCTCCTCCCGAGTCGTCTGCGCAGAACCCTGCGACCCACCTGCTGTCTAGCTGCTGCTGCTGCTCTGCGCGCTGAGCCCGCCCCGCCTGCCGCCTGCCTCCTGCTGGTGTCGTCTGCACGCAGAGCCCGCCCTACCCCCGGGCGCCAGACCCAGCGCGGGGGCCCCACCTCGCTGTCAG